GTTTAAATTTAATCACGTCTAATTTTGATTCTTTTTTCTTTTTTTTTTTTGTAAAATATAAGCGCGCATTTGACAGCCATCTCACCTATTGGAAAGTGACGATGAGGTCGACGATGGAGCATGCACAAATAATGCCTATTCAATCTCGCCTTGAAAAGTCCCAAGTTATAACGTTCAGGGAACAAGTCTGCAGGCAGGTAATTCCACTCCATAGCAATTCGCCATATAAATGTGGAAGCGTAACGCTTCGTGCGAATCTTTGGAATATCCACAACATAGGGGTGGAACCCTAGCCTACGCCTAATCCCCCGGTTATGAAAAGGGGAAGGCGGAATTAAATCGTGTAATTCCATCGCACACTCTCCGTGATATATCCTGTAAAATACCTTTACCAATTTATAATCATTATAATATAATCTAAATCATGTATCAATCTTAATAAGTGTATAACAGTCTACATCTTTATCATGTACCAATGAATACGTATCTGTAATTCAGTATAACTCGGCGCATTTTAGGGGTAAGTGTCTACTTAAATAACTCTTTATATTCATTATCATTAACTTAGGAAGTGTTGTATATTAATGTACTTGTTTTTATATATATACCTTTTTATTGTTACAGCCTTAATCCTTACTCCTTACTTCTTTGTTATCATCTATATCTATATATCATGCGATCGAGGATGGAGTGGCGATGGATCGAAACAAAATCAGAATGCGAGGCAAAAGAACTATGGAAATTCAAAATTTAAATTTATACGATATAAAATACGAGTAGCCAGGAACTGGAGAAAGGCGATAAAAAGGTGGGATGACGATGTAAGGAGGTCACACCGTCACACAATATTGCGCACGCGTGTATGTCGGCGTTAGTTATCAGCATCGCACTGAATGCACGTATATGCCGCTATAGCGCGTCAGTCAACTGACGAACGACGAACCGACGAACTCGACCGATGGTTCCGTCTACTACTACCAGTTCTTGATTGTTTCGCAAAAAGACGCTACTGTGAATGTTTATATTATTTAGGAACTTGTGGAAAAACAAATATAGAAAAATGCTGATGTGAAAGAAATTCGTAAAGCCACCTGATTGTTATTATCTTGATAGTGAAATAATAAAAAAATTGCAATTTACTTGTCAACGTATATTTTTGTAGATGGGTTCGAAAAGGACTACATGAAATAAATGAATGAATGTTGTTTATTGTTGTACCAAATAGACAATTTTCTTTTTTTGTGAAAAGAAGATGCAGACGCTACCAGTTTATGACGAATTATTCATAATTAATTTATTTGTGGAAACACACGTGCTTTCGCACCGGTTCCATTTTTTTATATATCTATTGTAGTTGTAGTCAAAAGAAAGAAGAGAACAATACGTAGGTACTTGGTCTGTGTTATTTTTCCATTTGAATTTTAAAATGAACAGCACCTTCAAAAAGTAATGACTACAAAAAACGTTCCCAACATCGGTTATTATAAGTACGATTGTGTTTTTGGACTAAATAATGAAAAATCTTTATTTCTCAGGTACAAATTTCGAGTCAAAAGGTAGCAAAAGGCGCCGAAAAAATAATAATAACAAAAATAAATACATACATAAACAAAAAAAAATTATTGACATCAGCACAGTATTTCCAAACGATAATTTACATGTCACGTATTATGATATGTAAATATTAGACATATATCATGATTTTTTTAATCGTTGCGTATATTTTGTATGAACTCGTTCACACATGTCCGTGTCCGGGCCGGGACGGGCCCGCAGTTCATACAAACTAGCACGCCCCGGCCACGTCCCGGGCAAGGCCCTGATATGTGTGGGTAGTCCTTAAGTTTATTAAATCCAGCTTACCCGGGGACAGCCATGTTTTCGACACACAGATTGCTTGAAAGTTATTTTTCTCTACGAATGTTTCAATTTGACAACAAACAAGATTGTTATTAAAACTTTGGAGGTTTTGGAATAATACATTAAAATTGGAATCACTTAACTCTCCACGAAATGTAGGATTTTTATGTGTAGTGAGTGTTTTGTTCAAATCGTTACATTATTGGCCGATTGAGGTAGAGGTATCAGCTACTACGTAATCAGAGCTTTGCTCTATTCCATCTATAAATAATTTTTTATTGCGTATTTTCCTTTTTTCCTTGCTGATTGTAATTGTTCCTGAAGCTTTCGTCTTTCTTTGCGTCCAATCTCGTCATAGAATTCAGAGACGTAGAGGCCTGTATTTTCCAAATATGAAGAATTTTGCAATATATATGTTGCCAATCTTTTACTTATGAGCTCTACCATTATGGGCCGACAATATCCTCTTTTCCCAAGGCGGTGCAATTCCTCAATGTACCCATGATGTACCCCGTTAGATTTACATTATATACATTGTAAAATATGTTAATGACTTCGTTGTTGAGGCTGAATTCATCTTCATCAAAACTTTCAGTTAGACCATACAGGACATTTTTTTTATTGTTTTCGCAGCAATGATGCTGTTCTAAATTAGGTGTTTGCAAGTTTTGGGTGAATTTAAGAGATAAATTACGTATTTCTTTTTCCAAAGCTTGTTTTTCGGTCTCTAGTTTTTTTAATTCGTTGTTCCAACTCGCCGAAGCTGCTGCTAATTTTTAATTGTTCCGACTTTAAAATATTAAACTCCTGTTATTAGCTCCTGTTTTATACCCTTACTACTTGATACCCTTGATAGTATTCGATATTTTGTCTTCAATTTGATTGGTATTTCTGCAATGCTTGACCGTTGCATAACTTTAATTTACCATCTAATAGTTCGCTGAACTGACTTATATTCATGGTCGTATCAACAGAAGCAGATACGCCAGGTTCTGTGACTTGTGTATTACTCGATACAGTATTTCCCAAAAGGCTGTGGTCAGAATCAGAATCACTACTTTGGGTGATGTTTCTCTAGTGTATTATCATTTCTACGTCGTCTCCTTGTGGTGTTCAGGCATTCAGGGCATATCCATGAAATATTATACTTAAGTGCGTTAGTTTTATGTTGAGAAGTCGAGATGCCAAGATATTCAAAGCGGTAGGACCCTTTACAGCAGGAGCAAGTCATATGCTCTGTTATATTGACATGCTTTTTACATGCAATGCAGTTCATGTTGTTAAACATGATGACAGCTCCCTCTTGTTGCACTTTGGTAGAACATTTGATAAGCGCCCTCTAGTTGTGAGTAGAACTGGTTCTTAAGCTAACGCCCTCTAGCGCCAAGGTAGAAATTATTTGATTTAGTAAAATAATCAAGTGGTTGGAGGTAGAGTTTCAAGTTTCAAATTGAAATAAATAGGACGCAATCTTGTGTTTTGGAATGTTAATTACTTCGGCTCATTAAAATCAGTTAATAACCTTATCTTCCAGTCTAACACTTTATGCATTTTTCACAAAATCTGTCGCTTTTGTTTAGTTTTTGGTTTAAAAACCACAAATGAACTTAATTCGTTTTCTACTCACTAATCAGTTTTCAGGTATTTTTGGTTTAAATAGCATTCACTTCCGTAAGATTCTTTTAAGTATATATTCACAATAATAAGTTTTATAAGCACACTTAGATTCACTTTAAAAATACACTTTTTCAATTTTTTATCAATAAAAACTCAAGAGTTCAGTGTTTATGTCGCGCACAGCGCCCTCTCTTTATATCCCTCTCTCTCGCTTTAGAGCGGTCTTCGGATTAGAGAACCTGTGCTTGTGTTCAGTGCCCCATTAGATGACCGTACCGAGTACAGTATCGATCATGGATTCGAGTTCCTCGGTGGAGTCGGCGGAGGCTACTAGTCATCGAGTATATAACCAGAAATAGAGACGAAATGTCATTTCATTTGTTTGAAAATTATTCTGCCATATCATTACTGTAACAACTGCGCTCCAATTAGATAGCCCGAGTTTCACTTCAAATCGACCAGTTAACTTCACCTTTGCTATAATGGATGAAAATTGCAAAATTACATATTTAATATTTAATTACCGATGAAATGTGATTCCGTTTGTTTTGTAATTAGATGTTTTGCTGTTTTTCCCACACCACCGAATAGAACAGAACGACATTGTTAGAGATATTATCTTTATTACAATAAATACAGAATATTTTTTGGAATATACGGAGACGTACACACAGCTCAGTAGTTGGCCTGTCTATATTTCAGTGCAAACGAGAGTTGATATTTATAAGAGCTGTATCGCTAATGTGTTACCAGGAATATATGGCCCTTATTTCGTCTCTATTTCTGATTGTATACCCGATGCTACTAGTATACCAAGACGTCGTCGGCGAAAGGCTGGACGGTTTTGGGCCCACCATGGGTTCCTCCTTTATGTGGTCTGTGGTTCTTCCTCTTTCTGCGTGGCTTGATACGAGGAAGGGTTCGCCGCAGATTTCTTCCACGCTCTCCATGAACTTCTCTATGTAGCACTCTTGCAGTAGACAGAAATAGTAGCTTAGAGCGGCTACCTGTTCTGCTAGCATTGCGAGCAGATTGAGTTTCTCCTACGGAGAGCCCGAAGGGATCGCGACTAACCCGCTTTTCTCGTGTCATATTTTGTTTGTTTATTTTATTACTATGTGAGAGTGTACAAACTTCCGCATGAAATTCGAATACAATAAAATTCATTATTTTTTGCTTAGTGAACTTTGCATGCCGACTATAATTTGTAATCGCCTAATAATCGATTGCTGAAAATAAACAATAATTACCTAATGAGTTTTACCTGCAAAGAGATTATAATGTTGCACTTACAGACTTTTCTGAAACAGTTTTGTAATGAAGGACACTACGCACTCACTGAATTTTGCAAATCATAGATCTTGCTGCCCAATGAAACAAAAATAGAAAAATCTCAATTTTGATCAAAATGTTACTTAGTGAGGTTTACCTTTTAACCGTCGATATGTTTGATCTACAGACGAAAAATGATCCAATCTTTTGCTATTATTATGTATATTAAATATAAATAAAAATTGTTATAGAAAAGCTGTCCTTCATCAGAAAGACGGAATAGACGACGGGATCGGTAAGTTGTTTAGAATATACAGCAAATCATTTATTTCCTTCTTCACTATTCCATACAGTCCACTTGTTAGCCGACCATTACATCAACCTAATCTTACTGATAAGTCCTGATTGATACTTAGATTGTAGATCTGAAAATATTTAAATATTTGTCTCGTACATATATCATAGGAAAAATGGCGTTTTTCTACTACTCCAGCCTATAACCCTTATCTAGTTACGGAATTGAAAGTTTATCCGAATTGGATCCGAAATAAAATTCTGTCTCGCGCACTTTGCTCACTACGTAATATAATTATATATTTAGTTTATTGTATACCCAATTGTGGCTAAGTCTCCCGTCACCTGAAAGTCTACGCCTTTGTAAGTATGATTTGTATGGGTATCACGATGGCTTCAATATGAAATTGAATGCCGAATGCGCGTGCATTATAAAATTTTGTTAACTATAAATAATCCTACATAATATGTATATAGGTGCATTAATTGAAAAAATTAACTCAAAACTGATTCTAAAAAAATTCTCGGATGCTCGGAAATATGTACATTGTTTTCAAGAAAGAACTTGCACAGCGAACTGTTTGCTTGAAAAGCTTGCGAACTTCCGTCCGCTGCTCCAAATTTAAAATTTGTGTATTGTCGATTAATTAACTACACAAACTAATTATGTAAGCGGAATATCGATTCCCTACCGAAATGCAGCAGTCTTTCTTTTCTGTTTTCTTAGTTGTGCATATTTAAGCGTGCAAATTTTTATAATTGAATGTTTTTCCCAAAGACAACATTAAATAATTATCTCGTAATTACTAAACATGAAATTATTATCAAGTTATTATCTTAGAGTACAGATCGAAATTCAAAATTTGGGCTTTGTCACACCCTGTAGAATTGTATTTTTTAAGCGCGTTTCAAGTTTCATGGATATCGTTTGAGGAACGGTTGAATTAGGTGCAATTGAGTGGATGCCAAGGAAGTCTCTGAAAACTGTCATACAGCCAACTAACTACCCACAATTGAGAGAATAAAAAAACAATTGTTTATGTTATTACTTCTTTTGACCACGTACATTGACTAAATGGCGGGATTTTGTTGTCTCCCTTTTTACATGATTCCAATTACTTTTAATAATTTCTTAATTTTTTGTTGTCTTTTTAAACTGATGATTTTTAACAAAATAACAATGCCCTACAATAAATACTCAAATTAAAATAACTTACTTTAAGCGGCAAAAACAAACTAGTTTAAATCGTATCAATTAACTTTTTTGGATTTTCGTAACTTAATTGAGAAAATGAGTTCTAGTGAGGAGAGCGACAACGAAAGTACACAATTTAAAGAATGAGGCAAAATTTTGTCGTGGAAATGTTGTATGTACTGTTCATTTTCAGTCCTTTATTATTTCCTCGCATTGTTTGAAAAATGCACTAAAAATAATATGTATACGAGTAGGTATATACCTCGGGGCGAACGGGAATTGTCTGACTCGTATTACAAGGCTTGTATTATATGAGTCGGGCAATCCCTGACTTCCCGGCCGTGTAATAATATACTAATGCTCGTTTCAGGTGCGCCAATATTGTCCTTAAGTATCTGCCTTTTAATTTCGTGGATTTTTGTGTATATTGCCGTCGCAAAGGGCGTAAAGGATAAAGGATGGCTGTCGTACTCTTGGGCAGTATTGCCTTATGTAATTTTATCTATTCTGTTTGTCAGGTACATATCTGCAAAGAATATTATTTTGGTTTAATTTTGATTATTTAAAATTAATAGACATTTTTTTTTCAATAGAGCCGTGACTTTACCAGGAGCAAAAAACGGAATAGTAGTCTTATTCAAACCCCAGTGGGTAAAAATATTTGATATTAAGGTGAGCGTTTCTTTAATATAATAGTAGTAGAGCTCTTTGTGAAAGATCTGGTCCAGGGAAGTAGTAGTAGTAGTAGTCCTACCACCTTACTTATTTTTGCCACCAAGCGGTAATGTGAGCATTGCTGCGTTCCAGTTTTGAAGCGTTGCTGGCGAGATTACAGGCACATAGGACTTGTCATCTTAAGTCTCAATGTGACGGACGCAGTGGCAAAACTCCTCAAATCTTTACGACTTAAAGCTCTGAGTGGCACTCCCTCTGCTATGAGCAGGCGTGTCGCGCAGCTAAGCGCACGTTTTGTTATTGTGTTGATAAAATAAAATTTTATTCATCTAAAAAAAGCTGGCAAGGTGGATTTTATCCTTGTCATCGTAACTTTAAAACTATTTTAATGTGCGAACACAATGCAGCAGCCTATCACTGAAAGTTGAACTCTTGTAAATACTTTAACATACCTGCTGGTGGCGGTTTCCTAACATTATGTGTCTAATCACCTACCGTAAGAGTGAAAATCAAATAAACTAATTTTAAAACACACCGTTCATAATATAATTTTGACTTCAACTAATTTCACTTTCTGTAACTTAAATTCATATAATTCGCGTTTGACATAATATTAATATTTTAACATTTTTTGAAAAGCTCTTATTATACAGGGTGTCCGGTAAATAATGGATAAGCCTGAAATACCTTATAGTAGAGCTTGTGAGCGTTAAAAAAATATAAAGAAAAATATATCCCATGTAGTACCTAAGATATATTTTTTTCTTTAAATTTAATTATTTTCACCTTATTTTATGATTTTGTACACCACAACTACAAGTTAATAAAGTCCTTCGGTTTTTTTAGTGTCATAATATTCTACATCAACTGTGCTAATAGATAGGCAGTAAATAGTATGACTATGGCACTTAAAAAAAAAAGTTTTATTTTATTTTTAAATGCATTTTTTTTTTCACAAACTTGAAGCATCTTTGATATAAAAAAAATTATTATAACCTTAGTGGACAACTATTCTAAAATAATGTGTGTTTAAAGTATATTTCAAAATGGTATAATTCATTATTGTATCTAATATAAATAGAAAATGATTGCTATTAATGTGCAATAGGAGTAAATTGGACTAAAAACTAAGTTTTCAAAATTGGACCATTTTTTGTCCTGAATTGAGCTTGACCATTGAGGTTCAATCAAGAAAATCAAGAAAAAATTGGAGACGGACGCACTGCTAATCAGAGTGGCTGACTAAGCATAAAATAGCGATCGATGATGTTGTTGCTTCATGCAAAAGCAACTTAATTCTATGGTGAATAATTTAGAACAAAATAAAAATTACTGGGACTAACGGTACAAAGCAGCGAATGCTAGATTGAATTTAGATGGTAACTAAATGTTAACAACTGAATAACATAAATAATATGAAATTAACTTCGTATTATCGAATTAAAAGACGATCAGTTATTTTAAATTTAGCATGAAGGTAAGCTTGCCACAATTGAATAATTTAACATTTGTACAGATTTCTAGCTACAATGAATATATTAAAAGCAAGATAATAATTAATGTAAACATATTATCTTAATAATAGGGGTTAAAGTATGAAATTGCCGATTTGTACTGAA